AACTGCAAGGAGGCCGCGAAGCGTATCTTCAGATGGGGGATGTTTGAACCAACCGACCCAAACAACAGTAGTCCGCTACTGTTCGTAACTCCCATTTCCTGATATTTTTTTCTCCTGGGCAAACAGGCTTCCTTTTTTTCAGCTGCATTTCCAGCGTACTTTTGAAGGCAGCTCGTTTTTTTTTTTTTCTTGCGGGTTGGAGTTTTGTCATGGCAAGGTGGCGGACGGCGCGGGTGCAGGAAAAAGGGTTAGGAAAGCCGCTGCTCATTACACAATGAGAAGGAATAAGCATGTACTGAATCGTGCGGATTGACGTTCTCCGCCTTGAATGCTTGACTTTGGAGTCCTGCCTTGGTCAGGGGGTTGGACTAGATGACCTCAGGATCCCTCCAACCCCTCCGTTCTATGCTTCTAAGAAATCCAGCCCTTCGGAGGTCTCCGCTCAAGCAGTCACCACCTGAGCTTGTGAACAGGCTGGAGGTTTAGGGATTGCTCCGACAATACTGATGTTTCGAGGGTCAAACCCCGTCCAATCCACCTTTACCACAGCGATAAGCCAGCATAGGAAGTTTTGGGGCGGTGGGTGGAAATGCAAGCCATACAGAGGAGAACGCCTTTGTTTCCTCTTCCTCTGGCTTAGCTGAATTGGTGAGTTGGGATCCAGCTTCTCCCTTGGGCCCTCTTTAAAAAAGATCTTCAAAAGCAGAGACGGAAAAGCCCAGGAAGGAAGAAAAAGAGGATTCCCGGGACAAAGCAGGGAGATGTGGGGATCTTAAGAAAAGAAAAGGGCCATTGCTGGGGAGAAGAGCATTCACACACGTCACGAGACCCATCCATCGATTTTATCGATCGGTTGATTGATTTGATTTGATTTTCTTCAAATCGATACATGCCGCCCATCTCCCTATACAAGCGACTCTAGGTGGTGTTGCCGATAAAAACCACCAGAAGACCCTAGAAAAAAATATATGAGTTAAAAACTACAAACGGTTACAATTCCGTATTTCTTTATTTTTATTTAAAGTGTTCCAAGGTTTCGGAGGAAAAAGCGCAAAGTATCGGGTCAAGTCACCCCTTCGAGCCATGTTTAATGTTTACTGGGCAGGGGCTGGACACGCTGCCAGATGCTGGCGCCTGGAAGGAAGAATATTCCTGTTTTTGCCTTCAGGAGGGACTTTGTAGGCTGTTTTAATTCTGTTTTATTTGGGGATTTCCCCCCCCCGATGAAGGTCCTATTTTAACTGGCAACAGCCAGGATACATTTAGTAAGATTTGGCCACATTTCTGTTGAGAAGCTGAAAAAAAAGCATTGACACACTTCCAATGTGCATGTGCTATGCTAGATGGATCCCTAAGTGTGCGTTTGTGCAATTCACACACTCAGCAGCGAGTCACGTACAGGGCACTTTGCACGGGGCTTTTGGAAGACATTTCCAATATATTCAGATCAGGTCTGCGCACAGGTAGGGAGTCAAAAAAGCCAGCCTTCCATTGCAGTTTGACTTTTTTGACCCCCTTCCCGCAGACACCCCTGATCTGAATGGGCTCACTGGCAATGATCTCAGAGGGCAACGAAGCTCCTGCTGTTGTTCCAAAAAGGAAGTTTTCCTTACTTCCTAGGGGAATGTTCTTTTTTTTTTTAATTTAATTTGTATTTATGTTTCTTTGAACAAACAGCCCTTCATCTCAAAGAAAAAGGAAATTGAAAAAAGAATTAAAAGTACAAATTAAAAAGAAAAGAATCTATATTTTCTACTTATCAGTATCACTGATTGAACCAATCAATTCCCTACTATAATATGAACAATACCAGATATTACTGTAAGATATCACATAATCTCTGCCAGAGTAAAACATTGCTGGATCCTTTGATTGACAGAAAATATTGCCTTTTCTAATATTTCCAACAACCATTCCTTAACATCTGGAATAATATCACTCTTCCAATTTCTCAATATAATACTTTCATCCCTCCCCTCCCTGTGCTCAATATAACCCTAATTCCCGAGAAAGTAAAGTTTGAAAGCTTTGGTATATAATTCAACATTGCATTAACATCTTGATTAAGATCTCCCCATAAATTTTTCTTCTAGGCATTCACACATGATCCCCCGCAGATAATGTACTAATATTCAAACCATAAGCAAACGAGACCGAATCCTTTACTGTATATCAAATTTAAACCCTTCACTGCATTTTATTTTATTTTTTCTTTAGCAGTTGGTAGCTTTGCCCAGCAGAGGGCGCCCTGGCTCAGGAGTTGGGAGTTCTTTCTCTAAATGACAAAATACTTGGAAGTTGAATTTTTTTAATTTTTTTTTTTGGAACTCTTTGAAGTTCAGTTTTACACCATCTGGTGTAGGAAAAGGCTCTTCTGAAGATTACAGCTGCTTTCCTGGGGGTGAGAGCTTAACAACTGCTGGCCACCGTCAGAAACTAGACCCACCCAAGGGGGAAAAGCCGGCGTTTCTTCCGATCTGGTTGCCAAGTAGCATTTGTGCAAAGTTTTTGATGGGCCGAGGAGGAATTTTTGTGGATCTGACTGTTCAGTTTGGATATGTTGTTATTAAAGGTGCTGTTAACCGAAATATGTTAAGTTTCCAGTCCTCTGCAAATTTGCCTGGAAAGACCTTCCGCTGAATTCAACGGGCCTTCAGAGGTGATCTCCCTCCGGATCGCGCGACAAAGCAGCACAGAATGTAAGTCCAGATTGCTTAAGTGATTTAAAGTTTATTTCATGGCGCAGATCCCCAAATTTCTTGCTTCACCAGAAGATAGGAGAAAACAGTCTTTTTAAGCAAACATGAGTAAAATCCTTCACCCTTTCTCCGAGGTGTCTCTGTTAATACAGACATGGGGCACGGAGCCTAAATTAGTTCTTTTTTTTTTTTTACATTGGCACAATGCCTTGAACCAACTAAGCAGGGCAGATTTGAAGAGGATTAGCCATAACATAAAACTAACCAACTTAACTCAAACCAAGCTTAGCAAGTGGTGTGAATGAACGTGTCAGATCTTGAGCTGAGCTGCTTAAATGTTTTTAATCTGCTATTGTTTTGCATAAGATTTTTTTTTAAGTAACCAAAATTCTTACGGTGCACTCACATTGAATGCCCCTCTGGTCCAGGGTTAGGAAATAGCTTTGTGCCTTACTTTGGGATGGGGGACCACCAGGAAATACCCAGACAATAACCAACTCCTCCCATATTGTTCTGAAGAAACTACCAAAACTGGAAGATTTCAGGCTAGCTAGGGAGGGAGGGAGGGAGGAAGGAAGGAAGGATGGAAAGTTGGGGAGAGGGGGGAGGAAGGAAAGAAGGGAAGGAAAAAATGAAAGGGAGGAAAAAATGAAAGGAAGGAAGGAAGGAAGGAAGGAAGGAAGGAAGGAAGGAAGGAAGAAGATAGGCTGGTTGGGGAGAGGGGGAAGGAAGGGAAGGAGGAAGGAAAGAAGGGAAGGAAAAAATGAAAGGGAGGAAAAAATGAAAGGAAGGAAGGAAGGAAGGAAGGAAGGAAGGAAGGAAGGAAAGAAGAAGATAGGCTGGTTGGGGAGAGGGGGAAGGAAGGGAAGGAGGAAGGAAAGAAGGGAAGGAAAAAAATGAAAGGGAGGAAGGAAGGAAGGAAGGAAGG